ATTCTTGTGAACTGCATATTGTGATAATTCAGCTCTCGTCTGGGGATTTTGAGGAAGTAAAACATCCACTTCAGTCACTGTCTTTGAGATCTTGTTCCATTCCTTGTTACAAGTGTCCTGTAGTTTTTTTCCGGCTTCTGACACAGCTGCAGTCACATCCTCAAAGTGTCGCACAGGATGGATTTTGATGCTGGATGACTCCTTAAAGTTGGTAAGGTTTGGCAGTGAGGGGTAGCTCCGCAGAAACTGGGTGTAATTCTCTGTTTGTACGAGCTTCTTCAGCTGATCGCATCCTTGCCTCAGTTCAGTGATCTCCTGCTGCAGCTTCTCCTGAAGCTCTTTGACCCGACTGACTTCACTTTTCTGCCGGGATCTGATCCGTTGCTTCATATCTGTCCTTTTTTTCTCAATAAGTTGGACTAGCTCTGTGGACATCTTCTCACTGTCCTCCACAGCTTTATCAGCAGAGCGGTTGATAGCCTCCAGCTCCTGCTGAAGCACCGTCACATCTTTCTCTCTGTTCTGGATTCTCGGAGGGATGTGTTGCCATCTCACACTGAGCTGTTGCTGCTTTTTCCTCATTTCTGCTGCAGCTGAGACGGTGTCGTGGCCTTTATGTTCATCCAAGGAGCACAGATAACAGATACACTGCTGATCAGTGCGGCAGAAAATCTTAATCACCTCATTGTGACGAGTACAGATGTTCTCCTGAAGCTCCTTCGAGGGGTCGACCAGCTTGTGTTTCTTTAATGGAACAACTTCATAGTGAGGCTGGAGGTGCTGCTTACAGGCAGAAACCAGACACTGTAGACAGGACTTGACAGCTTTCCGCTTTCTCCCAGTGCAGAAATCACATCCTACATCTTCAGGTCTGGCATAGTGATCAGCTGGAGCAGCTTGGAGTCCTGTCGTCTTCTGTTCCTCCACTAAATCTGCTAACATGGTGTTTTTCACCAGAGCAGGCCTCGGTACAAAGGTCCGTCTGCACTGAGGACAGCTGTGGATTTGCCTCTGATCCTCTTTATCCCAGTGGCTTTTAATACAGCTCATACAGTAGTTGTCTCCACAGGCAATAGTCACCGGATCCTTCAGTAGATCCAGACAGATCGAATAGCAGAGTTTTCTCAGGCTAATCTGATCTCCTTGCTGTGCCATTTTACTTCTCACTGATAATGAATATTGTAGCGCTTGTGAACAAAGAGGGAGTGGTTTACTGCTTCATTCCTGAAAGAGGAGTGCTTAGAAACAACCTGTTTGTGTTCATCCCCTAAAGGATGAAAACACTATCTTGAGTTTTTAATTAATTCCTAAGAGAAGCAGTTTGAACTTTAGTTGTAATCCTGTTTCCTACATGAAGATCAGATGATACAAACTGGACAAGACAACCAAAATATTAAGTGCTCTAAACTGACCCTACCTGCAAAGATAATAAGAAACATGCCTTGCATTCCTTGGAAGTCCACAGCTGTCTTCTGTGTCCTGCTGACCAGATCATTTGGTTTTACAGACCTTTATTTTATTTTTTATAATTAATATTCACTACCCACAGCTCCTTTCTCAGTTTTTGCTTTCTTTTGAAATAAGATCTTTCCATGAAATGACTCTTCCAAATTTTTTTTGGCACGTCATCATTCTTATGAACAATCACAAACATGTTTGGGCAATCAAAATGATTAAGACCTGACTTGACTTCATTCATGAAACAAAGTTCTTATGGTATTTCACACACACACACACACACACACACACACACACACACACACACACACACACACTTGGCCTCAGGGCATGATGAAAAACCGTTGTTGTAATGAACAGTGATTGAGCAATCCGAGGAGTGGTTTCTATTCAGTATTTTTAGGTCATCACAGAAGTCAACATTGCCTGGTTACCTGGACCAGTGGGATTTTCCTCTCGGGTTATTAGACTTTTGCAAAAAACATTGTGACGTTGGCCCTAAAAGGGTCTATAAGATGTCTCGGGTTTTGAGTAGCAATATCTCTGCCTCCCTTGTTGATAGGAGCTTAAATTCTGTCTGCATTTCAGTTGGGGTCAATGCATAATGTTTGTCTAGTTCAGCTATTGACTATAGTAGCTCTTGTTTTTTTCTCTCTTTATTTGTTAATAATTAAGCAGACAAGAGTTAAGCGGGATTTATACTTATGACACTATGCCGTAGCCTACGCACGCTGCCTACACTGTTGTGAGCATTTGTACTTGTGCGGTGGTGTGTCTGTGTCACTCTGCAGTTACACCTCCATAACACTAGTTGGCAGCGGGGGTTTCTGTGAAGTGCTTTAAAGTTTAGTTGACTCAAACACACATTAAACACACATTAAACATGACTTAATGGAGACAATTTCAAACACAAGTACACAAATCAGCTTCACTATAACTCGCAGCATTCACGTGTCTTTATCTGGACACATTTTCCCCACAAATACAACATGCTAATGTTTTTAGCACAAGCCTATGGCATTTTGCATTGAATAAATTAGCCTAGCAGCTAGCAGACCTTTCCTCTTCTCATATGAAGCTAGGGGCAACAGCAACATTTAACAAAGGTAACGTTACAAAATCCGGCTCCATTACAACTCACAAGTTTCACCGACAAAACAACTGTCTGATAATAAACATGTTTTCCAAACAAATACAGCATGCTAATGTTATTAGCACAAGCCTATAGCATTTTACATTGTATAAATTAGCCTAGCATTGAGCGAGGATTTCCTCTGCTCATATGAAGCCAGGGTAAATCACACACAAGACTTAAAATGCTAATTTGTGGAGGCTTTATTGTCTTTAACAATTTATTGTTTCTTATGTTCAAAATTAAAGTAAATTAAAGCTTTGTTTCCACTGAGGGAAATGGCTTCAGCTGACAAAAATAGACAGGTCTACTTTGCCAAAATGTTTCATTTATGGGGAGTTGCATGTCAGCCTACGGTGTAGGCTACGGTGTAGGCTCTACATTGATGCAGAGCCTACGCTGTAGGTATGGTGTCGATTCAACGCAGAAGTAAAAATTCCGCGTAAGTTTCTTGAGGCTGCTAGACATTTAACTAAAACCAAGAAAAGAGATCACATTGCTCCACATTTAGCATCTCTACATATGTTGACTGTTTCTTTTTAAGATCAGTTTTAAACTTGATGATGAGAGGAAAAGTGACGAGGAGGCTTCACACTTTACAGAGTTGCGTTCAGTAAAGACAAAATAAAAACACCCTCATCTTCTAAGGCTTTTAATTATGAACAAACACAGTAGTCAAAAACAGATGTATTTTTTAAACTTAAAAATAACAATAACTCCTGACGAAGTGCTATTAGTGAGCGTTACCTGTCACCTTACAGTAACTGTAGGTGTTTGTGGTCCCCGCCTAATTAGCTCCTGATCTGCCGGGTGAGTTTTGTGCTTTAAGCTGTTCGGATGGATACCCTGGTCCTTGTTTGCTGGTGTGGGTGTAGCCTGTAGGGGATGGCAGGGGGGGAGCGGGGGCAGTGGGGCCTGGCAGGGGGGCAGGACGTGGCCCCCTTTATGAGACAGGGTGCCAATTTCTCTCCTGAGGGCCTCAGCCTGCTGTGATTGTGTTTTCACCAGCTCCTGGAGCCTCTGAATCTCCTCCTGGTCCACACGTCTTCTGTAATCCTGGAACTGTCTGCCCTGGATACACAAACAGATATCTATAAAGGTAAGCAGTATACAGGTGGCCAGACACAAACAACTCACACATACAGTACAGGCCAAAAGTTTGGACACACCTTCTCATTCAATGCGTTTTCTTTATTTTCATGACTATTTACATTGTAGATTCTCACTGAAGGCATTAAAACTATGAATGAACACGTGGAGTTATGTGCTTAACAAAAAAAGGTGAAATAACTGAAAACATGTTTTATATTCTAGTTTCTTCAAAATAGCCACCCTTTGCTCTGATTACTGCTTTGCACACTCTTGGCATTCTCTCCATGAGCTTCAAGAGGTAGTCACCTGAAATGGTTTTCCAACAATCTTGAAGGAGTTCCCAGAGGTGTTTAGCACTTGTTGGCCCCTTTGCCTTCACTCTGCGGTCCAGCTCACCCCAAACCATCTCGATTGGGTTCAGGTCCGGTGACTGTGGAGGCCAGGTCATCTGCCGCAGCACTCCATCACTCTCCTTCTTGGTCAAATAGCCCTTACACAGCCTGGAGGTGTGTTTGGGGTCATTGTCCTGTTGAAAAATAAATGATCGTCCAACTAAACGCAAACCGGATGGGATGGCATGTCGCTGCAGGATGCTGTGGTAGCCATGCTGGTTCAGTGTGCCTTCAATTTTGAATAAATCCCCAACAGTGTCACCAGCAAAACACCCCCACACCATCACACCTCCTCCTCCATGCTTCACAGTGGGAACCAGGCATGTGGAATCCATCCGTTCACCTTTTCTGCGTCTCACAAAGACACGGCGGTTGGAACCAAAGATCTCAAATTTGGACTCATCAGACCAAAGCACAGATTTCCACTGGTCTAATGTCCATTCCTTGTGTTTCTTGGCCCAAACAAATCTCTTCTGCTTGTTGCCTCTCCTTAGCAGTGGTTTCCTAGCAGCTATTTGACCATGAAGGCCTGATTGGCGCAGTCTCCTCTTAACAGTTGTTCTAGAGATGGGTCTGCTGCTAGAACTCTGTGTGGCATTCATCTGGTCTCTGATCTGAGCTGCTGTTAACTTGTGATTTCTGAGGCTGGTGACTCGGATGAACTTATCCTCAGAAGCAGAGGTGACTCTTGGTCTTCCTTTCCTGGGTCGGTCCTCATGTGTGCCAGTTTCGTTGTAGCGCTTGATGGTTTTTGCGACTCCACTTGGGGACACATTAAAGTTTTTGCAATTTTCCGGACTGACTGACCTTCATTTCTTAAAGTAATGATGGCCACTCGTTTTTCTTTAGTTAGCTGATTGGTTCTTGCCATAATATGAATTTTAACAGTTGTCCAATAGGGCTGTCGGCTGTGTATTAACCTGACTTCTGCACAACACAACTGATGGTCCCAACCCCATTGATAAAGCAAGAAATTCCACTAATTAACCCTGATAAGGCACACCTGTGAAGTGGAAACCATTTCAGGTGACTACCTCTTGAAGCTCATGGAGAGAATGCCAAGAGTGTGCAAAGCAGTAATCAGAGCAAAGGGTGGCTATTTTGAAGAAACTAGAATATAAAACATGTTTTCAGTTATTTCACCTTTTTTTGTCAAGTACATAACTCCACATGTGTTCATTCATAGTTTTGATGCCTTCAGTGAGAATCTACAATGTAAATAGTCATGAAAATGAAGAAAACGCATTGAATGAGAAGGTGTGTCCAAACTTTTGGCCTGTACTGTATGTCTGTTTTGCATAAAACCTGACTGACATGCGTCTATTATGGTATCTAGTACAGATTTCAGCCTGTTAGATAGTACAAGTGCAAAAATTTTGTAATCATTATTTAATAAGAATATTGGGCGCCAGTTATCTAATATGAGATGATCTTTCTTAGGTTTAGGAATGAGGGTGATAAGACCTTGACATAATGTAGGAGGGAGTGAACCTCTGTCTGTACTTTCTGCATATACTTCTTTTAGAAATGGGGCTAAACTTTCACAGAACTGCTTGTAAAATTCGGCCGTCAAGCCATCTGTTCCAGGTGATTTATTGACTTTTAAATGGTTTATAGTGTCAGTGATTTCATTTAATGTAATAGGGCGGTCGCAAAAAATACTATCTGCTTCACTCAGCTGATTAATATTAGGAATAGAATAAAAAAAGTCAGAGCTAGATTGATGGCAGTACTTGGAGGCAAAAATCTGACTATTAAAGGATCCAGCAGTAGGAAAAATAAAATCACAAGTTCCTGAGCTTCTAAGAAGCAGCAGTACACCCCTTGGTACAGCATCAAACACGACTGCATACTCTTTGGGTGGGACTGGAAACTGAAATTTATTCATAAATTCTTGGTAAGAGAGTAACTGTCCCCATCATTAATAAGTTGTTTAACACATATAATCCCATGATCAAACCACTTCCTGTAAAATAACGATTTATTTTTATAGAGAATATTTTCATTGTTCCAGATGTAGAGATTAGTTGGTGAGAAGCTATGCTTATAAATCAGTTTCCAGGCAAGTAAAGCTCGTTTAT